GCTTTCTGTCTTGTATGCTTCCACTCTTGCTATGCTGATTCTTTAGAAACTTTGGAAGCATTGTGGTAAACTCAGGTAATATTACTTCACTTCCCCTGTCTCTTACCAGCATCATGTGTACCATGTGTGAGGAGGAGCATTCACAGTGATATAGTAAAAGCACACAATAGTGACTGAACACTCAGCTATTACATATAAATTAGGTGAATAACATATAAATGTTTTTATTTTTCCTTTTCTTTATCCTGTCATAATTTAGATGACTAACAAAAAGTAATTTAACCAAATAAATGAATATTTGTTATGTTTTACTTTGGACAAAGTTAGAAAACAATGTCCAAATAAAGGCTGATGTTGCACATTAAAATTATTACTTGTCTGTTTCCTTTATGTCTTTAAGTCTTACGAGGTGCTGCTGCTTCAAGTCAAGCTAAAGAAACACGTCCAACATTGAAACCACCTTGTGTTTACGTGTTTATGAATATTTGTAGGACTGATATTCTGCTACTAAATTTGTCTCAATCCATTTAGGCATCACTACAGTGCTCACCATGACGACTCTCAGTACCATCTCCAGGAAGTCCCTGCCAAAGGTTTCCTACGTCACCGCCATGGACCTTTTTGTCTCCGTCTGCTTCATCTTCACCTTTGCTGCTCTTATGGAGTACGGCACTCTGCACTATTTCACCAGCAACAGACAGACAAAGAAGTCTAAAGCCAGCAACACACAGGTACCAGATTTTTATTGATGCCTTCTTCATTAAAGAGCGTCGAGTACTAACACGGGAAATGACTGTGTGTGTTCCCTCTGCAGCAGAAAGCATCGAGCATGGTGAATATCCGACCCGGCCCGTCGCTGCTGCAGATGAATAACATTGTACCCTATCATGGGGAGGATGATTATGCTTATGAGTGTTTAGATGGAAAAGACTGCGCCAGCTTCTTCTGCTGCTTTGACGACTGCCGTTCAGGCGCCTGGCGTGAGAACAGGATGCACGTGCGAGTTTCCAAGATCGATTCTTATTCACGAATATTCTTTCCTACTGCTTTTGGTCTTTTCAATCTGGTTTATTGGATAGGTTATTTATATTTATAAAACTGGCACCTCAACCGGAGTGTATCATATACAAAATTTCCCAGAGACTGAGCTACTTGTATATAGTTAGAAATAGGGGGCAGTCATTTTAACGGCTTACTGTTACCAGCCGTCCGATTCCAGCAAGATGCAAAAGTCAAAATAGGAAAAGAAACCTGAATTTCATTGAAACTACAGTTGTGGACGTTTGGAATTACATCAAATGTTTGCACCGGTTAAACTCGAGAGAACATGGAGTCACTTTTTAATATCGTTTGTTTATTCCTCGCCACTGTGCTGTTGACATTGTAAAGTAGGAAGAAGAAGGAGCATTGTAGCTGTAATATATAACGGCAAACTCTTTTAGAAAAGTCAGTAGCTCTTATTATATAACTAACCTGACTGTCAGCAGCCAATATCTGAAATATCAGCAGTGTGTTTGAGAAACGTCTGGTCCTATTGGTCATTAGAAACGACCACGGAGTTGAAAAACTGGAGCGTTACGATCGGTGGACCAGCTGCTCAGAATCTAGGATAAATTTGTAGTATTGGCCAAACGTTGAGTTGTGGAGATGTGGTGGTTTTTACAGAGGCCTGATTTTATATGATAACGTCATAAAGATGATGCACTGCTGAAGGCACAATTCTGGATTTAAAGGAAGATACAAACTTGCATTTCCTTTTATACATTTTTGCTGCGTATAAAACACAGCGTGACTTTTGCCGCATGACAAAGAGCAGTGTGTACTGAAACGTTTTCAGTAATATTGTCTTAGAGTTACAACATTTTAATGGCAGCTTTCAACAATTTAAGATTTTTACTTAAAGCTTGCTTTGTTTCATATTTTTCCTCAGAAATGAGGCTCATGAATCTTGTAGTTGTCTATGTTGCAGTGAGTTAGAAAGCACTATTCACCAAATATCACTGCTTAAGTCACGCCAGTGGAAATCTGGACTCCTGTTCTCAAAATTATGATCTTAATATTTTGGACTTCTGTTGTTCTGCAGTACTCAAATCAAAATTAGGGCTATGGCTAAAATCATTCACTACTTGCTGGATATTGGACTGTACAGTAAATGTCTCAGTTTGTAGAGCTGTCAGGAGTACGGAGAGAAGTTACCCTTGAAAGTGTTACGAAGTTGTGATATGATCCACAAGCATGAACAAAGGCTCCACATACAGACACAAAGCAATGTGAGCACACAGGAGCTGAACGTGATCAATTTTGGGAAAATAATCAGTATTTACTCAGATTTGGTTTAAACTTGTAAAATAGTTTTACGTGCTTCACATTTGTGTCTGGATCGGTGTACGCATTAGTGAGTCCACAAAAGTTACACACAAATCACTGCACACATGTGTAAGTCTTAGTTTATGCTTGTGGATCATATCGTACGCATTCGTAACCACTTTAAGACAGATTTCTCTTCATGATGCCATCAAAGTATCCCACAAAGCCTCGTGAAAATAGTGTAACCTGATGGCCAGTACCTGAGCATTTCCTGCCATCGTGCTCAGCACCAACAGAAAAACGTCAGGTGGAGAAGAGGAAAGAGAAGGCGGTGCCTTTGCTTGAAGTTTCACTGTTAAAGAACTATTTTTGGATTCAGCTACTTAAAATAGCCACATCAAAAACCAGGGACTCACATCCACAGAAATAACAGACTTGAAATCGCTCTGCAGTTTGTTCATTAAGATTTAATTGGGATAGCTGCAGTGACGAGTGACAGCAACGGGAAGTCAGATTCAAACCCAGACCTCTAAGCCATGCGGAGTCACCTCACCGCAGCGCTGCAGTTTTAATTTGCGACAAATAATGTAAACCATGAAGCTCAAACTTTGTTTTTAAAAGGGCTCAGTACTACGCAATGATGATGATGTTAGCCAGCGTTAAGTTCTAGTATTGGATTTTATATAAACAGACTGTGTATTCTAATACATTTAGGATCGGGTAATTTCCTACTGTTTAACAAACGTGCAAACACAAAGTGCTGAAATGAACCCACAGCATTATTAAAAATACTGAGAATTACATGTAACTGTGGAAGGATACAGCTTTCATTCCTAAAGATACTCATTCTTAATAAATGTACTAGTTAATGGTTTAAGGAGCTCCTAAGACTACGATGACCTGGATGACTGAGAACCTTCACAGATATACTAGCTATGCTAGCACATACTATGTGTCTGCATAGAGCTGGTAAAGCACTATTTTAAAAAGAGATTAAAACAAAGGTCAGATTCAATTCTATTTTATTCATGAAGCACCAAATTACAACAACAGTCGCTTTACATTGCTGGGCAGACCATTCTTATTCTTTAAACGTCAGACTTGGAGATAATATGAATAGATATGCTACAGCAAACTTTCCCATATGAAAACTACAGAAAATAGTTTAGTACATTTTCAGATACACCAAAGAAACATTAAA